CATCTCCGTCTTTCTCCACCATCGTCATCTCCGTCTTTCTCCACCATCGTCATCTCCGTCTTTCTCCACCATCGTCATCTCCGTCTTTCTCCACCATCGTCATCCCCGTCTTTCTCCACCATCGTCATCCCGTCTTTCTCCACCATCGTCATCTCCGTCTTTCTCCTCCATCGTCATCTCCGTCTTTCTCCACCATCGTCATCTCCGTCTTTCTCCACCATCGTCATCTCCGTCTTTCTCCACCATCGTCATCCCGTCTTTCTCCACCATCGTCATCCCGTCTTTCTCCACCATCGTCATCTCCGTCTTTCTCCACCATCGTCATCCCGTCTTTCTCCACCATCGTCATCCCCGTCTTTCTCCACCATCGTCATCTCCGTCTTTCTCCACCATCGTCATCCCGTCTTTCTCCACCATCGTCATCCCGTCTTTCTCCTCCATCGTCATCTCCGTCTTTCTCCACCATCGTCATCCGTCTTTCTCCACCATCGTCATCCCGTCTTTCTCCACCATCGTCATCCCCGTCTTTCTCCTCCATCGTCATCCCGTCTTTCTCCACCATCGTCATGTCCGTCTTTCTCCACCATCGTCATCCCCGTCTTTCTCCACCATCGTCATCCCGTCTTTCTCCTCCATCGTCATCCCGTCTTTCTCCACCATCGTCATCCCGTCTTTCTCCACCATCGTCATCCCCGTCTTTCTCCACCATCGTCATCCCGTCTTTCTCCACCATCGTCATCCCGTCTTTCTCCACCATCGTCATCCCGTCTTTCTCCACCATCGTCATCTCCGTCTTTCTCCACCATCGTCATCTCCGTCTTTCTCCACCATCGTCATCCCGTCTTTCTCCCCATCGTCATCCCGTCTTTCTCCACCATCGTCATCCCGTCTTCTCCACCATCGTCATCCCGTCTTTCTCCTCCATCGTCATCCCCGTCTTTCTCCACCATCGTCATCTCCGTCTTTCTCCACCATCGTCATCCCCGTCTTTCTCCACCATCGTCATCTCCGTCTTTCTCCACCATCGTCATTCCGTCTTTCTCCTCCATCGTCATCTCCGTCTTTCTCCACCATCGTCATCTCCGTCTTTCTCCACCATCGTCATCCCCGTCTTTCTCCACCATCGTCATCCGTCTTTCTCCTCCATCGTCATCTCCGTCTTTCTCCACCATCGTCATCCCGTCTTTCTCCTCCATCGTCATCCCCGTCTTTCTCCACCATCGTCATCTCCGTCTTTCTCCACCATCGTCATCCCGTCTTTCTCCCCATCGTCATCCCGTCTTTCTCCCATCGTCATCCCGTCTTTCTCCACCATCGTCATCCCGTCTTTCTCCACCATCGTCATCTCCGTCTTTCTCCACCATCGTCATCCCGTCTTTCTCCACCATCGTCATCCCGTCTTTCTCCACCATCGTCATCCCCGTCTTTCTCCACCATCGTCATCTCCGTCTTTCTCCACCATCGTCATCCCGTCTTTCTCTCCATCGTCATCTCCGTCTTTCTCCACCATCGTCATTCCGTCTTTCTCCACCATCGTCATCCCGTCTTTCTCCCATCGTCATCCCGTCTTTCTCCACCATCGTCATCCCCGTCTTTCTCCACCATCGTCATCTCCGTCTTTCTCCACCATCGTCATCCCGTCTTTCTCCTCCATCGTCATCCCGTCTTTCTCCACCATCGTCATTCCGTCTTTCTCCACCATCGTCATCCCGTCTTTCTCCACCATCGTCATCTCCGTCTTTCTCCACCATCGTCATCCGTCTTTCTCCACCATCGTCATCCCGTCTTTCTCCTCCATCGTCATCCCGTCTTTCTCCACCATCGTCATCCCCGTCTTTCTCCACCATCGTCATCTCCGTCTTTCTCCACCATCGTCATCCCCGTCTTTCTCCACCATCGTCATCTCCGTCTTTCTCCACCATCGTCATCCCGTCTTTCTCCACCATCGTCATCTCCGTCTTTCTCCACCATCGTCATCCGTCTTTCTCCACCATCGTCATTTCCGTTTTCTCCTCCATCGTCATCTCCGTCTTTCTCCACCATCGTCATTCCGTCTTTCTCCACCATCGTCATCCCGTCTTTCTCCACCATCGTCTTCCGTCTTTCTCCACCATCGTCATCCCCGTCTTTCTCCACCATCGTCATCTCCGTCTTTCTCCACCATCGTCATCTCCGTCTTTCTCCACCATCGTCATCTCCGTCTTTCTCCACCATCGTCATCTCCGTCTTTCTCCACCATCGTCCCCGTCTTTCTCCTCCATCGTCATCCCGTCTTTCTCCACCATCGTCATCCCCGTCTTTCTCCACCATCGTCATCTCTGTCTTTCTCCACCATCGTCATCTCCGTCTTTCTCCTCCATCGTCATCCCGTCTTTCTCCACATCGTCATCTCCGTCTTTCTCTCCATCGTCATTCCGTCTTTCTCCACCATCGTCATCTCCGTCTTTCTCCACCATCGTCATCTCCGTCTTTCTCCACCATCGTCATCTCCGTCTTTCTCCACCATCGTCATCTCCGTCTTTCTCCACCATCGTCATCCTCGTCTTTCTCCACCATCGTCATCTCCGTCTTTCTCCACCATCGTCATCCCGTCTTTCTCCACCATCGTCATTCCGTCTTTCTCCACCATCGTCATCTCCGTCTTTCTCCACCATCGTCATCCGTCTTTCTCCACCATCGTCATCCGTCTTTCTCCACCATCGTCATCTCCGTCTTTCTCCACCATCGTCATCTCCGTCTTTCTCCACCATCGTCATCCCCGTCTTTCTCCACCATCGTCATTTCCGTCTTTCTCCACCATCGTCATCTCCGTCTTTCTCCACCATCGTCATCTCCGTCTTTCTCCACCATCGTCATCCCGTCTTTCTCCACCATCGTCATCTCCGTCTTTCTCCACCATCGTCATCTCGTCTTTCTCCACCATCGTCATCTCCGTCTTTCTCCTCCATCGTCATCCCGTCTTTCTCCACCATCGTCATCTCTTCTCTCCACCATCGTCATCCCCGTCTTTCTCCACCATCGTCATCTCCGTCTTTCTCCACCATCGTCATCCCGTCTTTCTCCACCATCGTCATCCTCCGTCTTTCTCCACCATCGTCATCTCGTCTTTCTCCACCATCGTCATCTCGTCTTTCTCCACCATCGTCATCCCGTCTTTCTCCACCATCGTCATCTCCGTCTTTCTCCACCATCGTCATCCCGTCTTTCTCCACCATCGTCATTCCGTCTTTCTCCACCATCGTCATCCCGTCTTTCTCCCCATCGTCATCTCCGTCTTTCTCCACCATCGTCATCTCGTCTTTCTCCACCATCGTCATCCCGTCTTTCTCCACCATCGTCATCTCCGTCTTTCTCCACCATCGTCATCCCGTCTTTCTCCACCATCGTCATTCCGTCTTTCTCCACCATCGTCATCCCCGTCTTTCTCCTCCATCGTCATCTCCGTCTTTCTCCACCATCGTCATCTCCGTCTTTCTCCACCATCGTCATCTCCGTCTTTCTCCACCATCGTCATCTCCGTCTTTCTCCACCATCGTCATCTCCGTCTTTTTCCATCAGCATCTCCGTCTTTCTCCACCATCGTCATTTCCGTCTTTCTCCACCATCTTCATTTCCGTCTTTCTCCACCATCGTCATCCCCGTCTTTCTCCACCATCGTCATCTCCGTCTTTCTCCACCATCGTCATTCCGTCTTTCTCCACCATCGTCATCTCCGTCTTTCTCACCATCGTCATCTCCGTCTTTCTCACCATCGTCATCTCCGTCTTTCTCCACCATCGTCATCTCCGTCTTTCTCCACCATCGTCATCTCCGTCTTTCTCCACCATCGTCATCTCCGTCTTTCTCCACCATCGTCATCTCCGTCTTTCTCCACCATCGTCATCTCCGTCTTTCTCCACCATCGTCATCTCCGTCTTTCTCACCATCGTCATCCGTCTTTCTCCACCATCGTCATCTCCGTCTTTCTCCACCATCGTCATCTCCGTCTTTCTCACCATCGTCATCTCCGTCTTTCTCCACCATCGTCATCTCCGTCTTTCTTCACCATCGTCATCTCCGTCTTTCTCCACCATCGTCATCTCCGTCTTTCTTCACCATCGTCATTTCCGTCTTTCTCCTCCATCGTCATTTCCGTCTTTCTCCACCATCGTCATCCCCGTCTTTCTCATCATCGTCATCTCCTTCTTTCTCACATCGTCATCTCGTCTTTCTCCACCATCGTCATTCCGTCTTTCTCCATCATCGTCATCTCCGTCTTTCTCCAGCACATCCATTTCTCCACCATGTCATTTCCGTCTTTCTCCACCATCGTCATCTCCGTCTTTCTCCACCATCGTCATCTCGTCTTTCTCACCACATCCATTTCTCCACCATCGTCATCTCCGTCTTTCTCCACCATCGTCATCTCCGTCTTTCTCCATGATCATCTCCGTCTTTCTCCACTAACATCCATTTCCTCCACCATCGTCATCTCCGTCTTTCTCCACCATCGTCATCTCCGTCTTTCTCCACCATCGTCATCTCCGTCTTTCTCCACCATCGTCATCTCCGTCTTTCTCCACCATCGTCATCTCCGTCTTTCTCCACCATCGTCATCTCCGTCTTTCTCCATCATCGTCATCTCCGTCTCTCTGCACCAACATCCATTTCCTCCACCATCGTCATTTCCGTCTTTCTCCATCATCGTCATCGTCTTTCTCCACCATCGTCATCTCTGTCTTTCTCTATCATCTTTCTCCACCAACATCCATTTCCTTCACTATCGCTATCTCCGTCTTTCTCCACCATCGTCATCTCCGTCTTTCTCCATCATCGTTATCCTCTTTCTCCACTATTGTCATCTCCGTCTTTCCCCATCATCTTTGTCCACCAACATATCTTTCCTCCACTATCGCCATCTCTGTCTTTCTCCTCCATCATCTCCTATTTCCTCCGTCATCATCACCATCTCAGCTCGTAGAGTAGAAGGTCTATATAAACTTATGTAGACCTTGGCGAATATGTTTGCTGTTGTCGTACTGTCAGTGATAATAGTAACGGCAGTAATACTCGTTACAGTCGTTAGAATAAGGTCTGACAGTGATCCTAATAAGGATTCATGGCGATCATGATGATACCATTAACAACAGCACTGAAGGGAGGTCTAAGGAAACGTGTCTGTGGCGACAGCCTTTTCGCTCCGGTGCTTCTTGAAGGCCTGAAGGAATTCGTTTTTCCTCTTGTCCGTTATTTTTATTTACAGTTTGAGGAATATGAATTTATTAAAATAACTATGCTAATTATGATAAATATGAATATCCTGGATGAAATGATCATTAAAATGAATAAATAAAAGTAACCAATAAAGTAGTAATCAGAAATATTTACTAGTTGCGTTCCCCCGCTCCCTCCTCTCCTCCCGCATGCCCCTAACCCCGCCCTCGCTTCCTCCCGCAGGTGACGGACGACCTGTGGGTCATCACGGACGACATGAAGGTCCTGAACGAGAGCATGTGGGCGGCGTCGGTGCGGGAGCGGCTCAAGCTGTTCGAGCGCTCCCTCATCAGCGCCATCAAGAACGACGGCTGGGACGGCTCCGAGGACCTCAACACGCAGCAGTGGACCTTCGCCGGCGCCCTCTTCTACTCCATCATCCTCATCACCACCATCGGTGAGTAGCGCCGCCCTCGGCCTCGCGGCGTCGAGGCTCTAGTCCCTCGGTGTCTCCTCGGGGCTCGGCGCCCTTCCTTGCTGGCGGATGATTTCGTTTTCTTGTTTCTGCTATTATCATTATTAGTATCATTACTTCTACCTGTTTCACCAGTCACCATCGGAACCACCATCATCAGCGCATCCATAACCACTAATACCATCACCATCATTACCACCACCAGTACCGCCATGACCATCACCGCCAGCACTATCGCCATCATCACCAGCACCACCTGTCCTCCCTCCCTACACTATTTCTTCTCCACAACGACGCTAACATCATCCAAGACGCCGCGTCTCTGCCTCTCTCCTACACAAAGCTTTTCATAAGAGAAGAAAAGATCCAAACAAAGAAAGGCAAAGCTCTCTCAACGCGGAAGTCCTTCTTATAGCAAAAGCTTAATCCTACGGCTCTTGAATTTGCTCGTTGGAGTCTTCACTGGATTGAAAATGAGATTCCTCGCGTTCTTTGGTTAAATGAAAAGTCATTAATGTTAGTACTAAGTCCTTAATGTTGATACTAACTTCAGCAAAGCATAGTTTCTTATTATGCTTCGAATTTAAGATGCTAAAGAGATTCCGAAACTCTTGAAAGTTTCGAATTATAATTGAAAGTAGATATGGTATTGTTGATCTGTTTTCATCCTCGGTCACTGATCCTTATGGCGCCGTGAATTTTCACTTGGCGCATACTATTTTATCAGGTTTTTATTTACTTCCAGGCAGCTTTCGTAAGTTGTGGTGTTATATGATATTACACGATTATCACCAGCATATTTCCTGCCTAAGCAGCGTATTCTGTAGATTTTCATGCACCACGCAAGCACAGATCTGAGATTTTGTCTTGCACTCAGAACTTCGTCTTAAAGTGTTTAACCTACATATTTGGCAAGACGCAGACGGTGATGGAGACCTGAACATGTGTGGGTCTGCGCACTGGGTCAGACCTCGAGAACGTAAATAAGGCAGGAATTGGGTTTAATATACAAGCACAAATTATTTATATTTTTATTGTCATCGTCGACACTAATATTAGTATTTGTACCACAGTATGTTTCGCATTTCCTGAGGGTCTCGTGCATCCCTGGGCTCGGGCCTTGTCCCGGCCGGGCGCTGTGACACACTCGGCCGCTCGCTCAACACATGTCAGATGCTTGCCAAACCCGAGTATGTGGTCCGTATGAACATTTATTTCTTTATTTACTTTGTCATGTTTATGTTATATAACTTAAACCCCTGACTGGGTCTGACATGCAATTATTAGAGTAAGAGGTGGAAGCGTTTAGTAATTTGGAGATAAAGAATGGCAGATGATCACAACGCAAATTCATGAATCTTGAACATGTATGATGAACACAAACACAGAAACATGTACACAGTCTGAAGTTCTATAGAGGCGAGGTTTCACTTTGTACGCGATAACATCCAATGATGGAAGAGAATTATGGCCATTAGATGTTCAGCACAGGCTTGGTGAGACAGAAGGCTGCCACGGGGGTGTTGAGGCAGCTCTTCTTATCAATGAAGTACTGCGACTGCGCGACCTGGCCCTGCAGAGGGTCGAAGACATAGTGAGGGCTGTAAGTGGGCGAGTTCAGGTACACGACGCGGGCCAGAGGGTGCTCCATGACCAGCTCACCGTCGCCCTTGACCTCGCCGGGCACCTGCGGAAGGTGTGTGCGGAAGAGGTTCTGGTCTGTCGGGACCACCAAGGGCTGGCCCAAGGGGCGAGGGTACGGCGTGCCGTAGAAGGGCGTGTTGAACCTTGCCAGAGGGAAGGGAACTACTGGACGCTGAAAGACGAGGCGA